CTCCAATATGCCAGAAATAGACTATATGGTCCAACTATTTTTACAGGGACTTACATTCTGAATACTTACATTCTGCAATATTTCAATGTGTTTTGATAACGATGCGCTCATTTTGTTTTATAAAAGTGAATTAAAATAAACTTGTAAAAATTTTCCTTGTGCGTTTTAAACAGCTGCTTTTTAAACATATGACTGCATATTTCTGTTGGCAGAAAATTTGCTAGCAGAAATTTGCAGCTCTCACGTTTTTTTACGCTTTCTTCTGCAAATTTTTTGTGTTAAGAAATGCTTTCCAGCAGAATGCAGTAAAAATGCAGTAAAAATGCAGTTCGTTGTGAAACATAAATAACAATTTGCGAATATCATAAATTTAACACCACAGAATTTCACAGTTAAACTAAACTTCCGGCATGGAACAAGAAATATAGGGAAACTGTCAAATAATTGACAGCTCGGCGTCATCTAGCGGTCACTAGAAAAAAGTGCACATAAATCTTTTTCGGCGCCACCCTGTTTTATTACGAAATAACGTGAAAGGTCAGATTCTTCAATGAAATGAATAAGATGAATTCAAAGGCATGCAAAGGCCTCATCTTATTTTCTTTATTTTATTGCAACACAGTTTTTCGCACTACGCTGATTGCTGATTGGATCGAACGTTTACATACATATGTATACAAAAGGCTTATTTTGTTTATCTACGAATTGTCAAATGCATTTGCAATTATCACCCTATACTTCCGGTAGTGCATTCCAGTGACGTCCGGTAGTGCATTCCAGTGGAAGTTTTGTGATCTATCCCTGTTCTGACATTCATTGCAGAGAACCAAGGTGTATTAAACAAGGTGGTGTTGGGGCGACAGCTGAGTTTTTCGCCGTGGAGGCCATTACGTCAAAATGATGTGTTTGTTGTAACTCATACCAATGACAGTATGGACATCAGCGTATAATTTGTTAGTGTAATTTTTTACTTATATACGGCCAACACCACCTTGTTAAATACGCCTTGGTGGTGAGCTTCTAGCCGATTTCTGATCTATTACAAAATACCAACGAGTAGCGTGTTGCTGCTTCTCTGTTTTAAACGTTCTCTGACACATCTGCGTGAGAAGCAAGAAACAGCGAGTAGGCAGCAAACGCCGCAAACAGTGAACGAGTTACACTTAGGGTTGCAAAATCTAGTGTTGCAACATAATGACGTAGTGTTACCGAAAATGACAGTGCCGACATTTTCGGGCGAATACAGTGAGTGGAAGACATTCAGCGATATATTCAAAGGCGCGGTAGACTCTAAAGCCATTTGTCAAATACGCAGAAATTTTACTATTTATCATCATTTTTGGGCGGTGAAGCTGCAGATTTAATAAAGAACATACCAGTTACGAATGAAACTTATACTGAGGCATGGAATGAACTTCAGCAACGGTACGACAGGCCACATTTGGTAGCAAGATCGTTCATCACAGTTTTATGAAACTGCCAACCACAACAACAACGAATCCTAAAATTTTACGAAAAATTATTGACGGTGCAGACGAATGCTTGCGAGGGTTATCTGCCATAAACATCAAGGAACGTGACCCTTGGTTGATATTTATTCTGCTTAACAAATTGGATGCAGAAACGCGTCACAATTGGTTTGAGCATGTTGGATCTCGAACCAGTATTACAATTGAAGAATTTTTGAAGTTTCTTGGCGCTCGTTTTATTCATTTGGAATCAAATGAGTTACACACGACAGGCGTAACAGTGCGTAATACATCGGTACGTTCGCATGTTACAGCAGCAACATCTGGTTCATCGTGCGCATTTTGTAATGGGCAGCATAACATCGCAAAGTGCACAGACTTCATGGCAGCATCTATATCAGATCGTAGAAAACAAGTAAGATCGAAGTCTATTTGTTTCAACTGCCTCAAAGCAGGTCATCGAGTTAAGGATTGCAAATCAAACTTCAGCTGCCGCACATGCCATGCGAAATATCATACACTGCTCCATGAGTCTACAGATAAGGAATCGAAATCTGATTTATGTAAAAATACATATCATACAAATGGTAATGACATATCGTTGCAGAGCACTCCAGATGATGCACTCGCAAGTCATTATGGTTTGCAGGGCATGCACAGCATGCAGGTCGTACTTCCTACAGCAAAGGTTTTGGTGAGAGATGCTTCTGAGCACATTCATAAACTTCGTGCCTTGATTGACACTGGTTCGCAAGTATCATTTATATCGGAAACCTGTGTTCAGCGCATTGGTGTATCACGATCAGAGGCGAGACTTAACATTAAAGGTATTTCATCTTCAGAGGCAGGTACGACAAAGGGCTGCGTGAATTTGGCCATCAGCTCTCAACTCGACAATTCCAACGTTTCGGTTTGTGCGTACATACTCCAACGTATTACGGCAGACATTCCAAAGCATAGCATTAGCAACATACCGTGGAAGAAAATCTCGTCGCTTAAGCTAGCAGACTCAAATTTCAATCAAAGTGCACCAATCGATTTTCTACTTGGCGCAGATATTGCTTGGAATATCATCACCGATGGCAAAATTCAAATCGAAAAGCCAAACTTGTTTGCAATCAATTCCATTTTTGGATGGATACTTTCTGGTCAAGTAGACATAGTGACCAGAGAAGACGCAATTTCATCATATACTGCCACGATTAACGTAGACAAGCTACTTACAAGATTTTGGGAGTTGGATGAATGCAAGCCAGTTAGTAAACAATCGGATCATGACGATCCCGCTGAAATTCATTTTCGAGAAACACATACACGCTCTACTGACGGCAAATATGTTGTAGAGCTGCCGTTTAAAGGGAAAGATCTAACTTTCACGAACACTTTACAAGGAGCTGTTCAGAGGTTGAATAGCATGGAGCGACGTTTTCACCACAACAAGCAGTTAAAACAAGAGTATGCAAAATTTATGAATGAATACATGACTTTGGGTCATATGCAGCAAATACCCTTAGAAGACATTGACAAATCACCTCACTACTACCTTCCGCACCATGCCATTTTGAAACCCGAGAGCTCGACGACGAAATTGCGCGTGGTGTTCGATGGGTCACATCAAGATGCTGTTGGTAAATCACTCAACGGCCAACTCTTGGTTGGTCCACCAATACAGCGGGACTTGTTTGGTGTTTCGCTACGGTTTCGTCAATTCAAATACGTGTTCGTCGCCGACATTACAAAGATGTTCAGGCAAATTTGGGTATCGCCTTTTCACCAGGATTACCAACGTATTGTGTGGAGAGAGTCACCGGATGAGCCCATCAAGCACTACTGGTTATCTACAGTCACATACGGAACGGCGTCAGCGCCTTTTCTTTCTGTTCGTGTTTTACAACAACTCGCAATGGACAACATCAACAACTTTCCTCATGCAGCTAACATAATCTGTAATAACATCTATGTGGATGATGTCATGGCTTGCGGAGATTCCATAGATGCTGTTATTAATCTCAAAACGGAATTAGTTAATTTGCTTGAGTCTGGAGGCTTTCATCTTCGTAAATGGAGCTCCAACTCCACGGCAGTTCTGCAGACGGTGCCTGCTGAAGACTGTGAGGCCTTTTCGAAACACAAAAATGGCGGTTCAGACTACATCAAAATACTGGGTCTTTATTGGAATCCCAAGCCAGATAAGTATTCGTTTCATGTTGGAACACCCACTGTAATTAACGCAACTAAACGACACATCCTTTCAGAAATTGCTCGCATATTCGATATTTTTGGGTTTTAGCACCAGTTGTGGTCAAAATGAAAATCCTTTTCCAAGAGATATGGTTAACAAATGTCAGCTGGGATGACCCACTACCAGATCGTATTAGCAGCACTTGGCGACATATACGAGAAACATTGCATTTGTTAGAAGCGATCTCTATTCCAAGAAACATTTTGAATCCTGCAAAGCAATTCGAACTTCATTGTTTTTGTGATGCCTCAACGTCCGCATATGCTGCTGTTGTCTATAGTGTATGCACTTAAGAAGGTATAAGGTCAGTTTCGATGGTTGCTGCAAAGACAAGAGTAGCACCACTCAAGGCGGTGTCTATATCGCGCTTAGAGCTGTGTGCCGCGCTCCAGTTAACACGCTTATACAATTCGATAAAAGTTTCACTCAACATCGCAGACGTAACGGTCTATGCTTGGACAGATTCTCAGGTTGTCCTTCATTGGTTATCGTCTCCACCTCGCAATTGTAAAATGTTTATCGGAAATAGAACCGAAGAAATTCTTGATTGTTTATCAAGAAGCAAATAGAACTACATTGACACAAATGAAAATCCCACGGATTGTGCATCCCGGGGGCTCACACCGGAACAACTCCTTCAACATAAGCTATGGTGGACAGGCCCAGATTGGTTGAGGAAGCCAAACTCATTCTGGCCTAAACACACGCCAATAGCAGGATGTGAACTGCCAAATGATATCTTGGAACAACGCAAAACAGTACTACATACCATAACTCGTGAAAAGGAGTCATCAATTCTTATCGACTATGCACATAAGGTGTCATCATTCCAGAAAATGATCAATGTCATCGCATACGTTTTTCGATTCATATCACAGCTGAGGCATAGTCGCGAGATTCACGCTATTCATTTGGAGCACAAAGAACTACAAAAAGCACGCTATGCATTATTTCGTGCTATTCAGCAGGAATCTTTTGAAGATACGTTTCGACGATTGAAAACCAATTCCCATAAGAGGGACAAACTTATGCAATTATCACCATTTATCGATCCAGAGGGTGTTCTTCGTGTGGGCGGCCGTATTGAGCGCGCTACATTATCTTACAATATAAAACACCCTATCATTCTTCCGAAACATCATGTTAGCAGACTGATCGTCGAAGATCTACCCAAAATGTATCTGCATGTGGGGGTTAACGAGCTGTTTGTTATCGTTCGACAGCGCTATTGGATAATTGGCGCCAGAAATATAATCCGGTCCGTGGTATATCAGTGCAAGCAATGCTTCATACTACGGAAGCAAACTTCTGCGCAGCGGATGGCAGATTTGCCAGCAGTGCGTCTGGAGCCAGCTAGAGCATTTCTAAACTCAGGATGTGATTTCGCAGGACCGATTAACATCAAAATGACCAACTGTAAGCGTCCAAGAATTTGTAAATCATACATATGTCTTTTCGTATGTTTGTCCACGAAGGCGATCCACATTGAATTGGTCACTGACTTAACAGCCGAGTTTGGAGTACATAACTTCCCTACAACATCGCACTAAATGGACTACCGCTCAACCTAACATTACAGCTGGAAAACTCGTAGTGATCAAGGATCCCAGCGTTCCTCCGACAAAGTGGATGTTGGGCAAAATTGAAGAAGTCCATGCCGGCCTCGACGGGTGCGTGAGAGTTGTCACAGTACGCACTGGAAAGGGAACTTATAAACGACCGATCACGAAAATCGCCTTGCTACCAACTTCTGGCTGAAACTATGGTTCAGGGCTGGCGGTATGATGAGAAATTAAATCACCTCTACATTCCATACTTTATTACACCAAAATGCAACCTTACTTTGTACACCACTGCAACCCTTGTATACGTATTTTATTATAACTTCATTAGCCTTTGTTACTGTAACTTCGCACAAGTTCTAGAATAAAGACAGCCCTTGGAAAATTAGAAATAACCACGTTACTATTCAACACTAAAGTTCCCCGCATATTATAACATTCCTAGCCTTTGTAACAATTTTATTCGCCCGTACAGTCCTGGGTCTAGGATTTATTCAAATTTCATATTTTCTGTAGCTGAGGGCCTCAAATTGAGACAATAGCTATTGGGCCCATATTCACTATTTGATTTCTTGAATATGTTTAAATTGCGTTCGAATATACTTACGTCAATTCCTATTATTTTCTCTAGACTTGTTGCAGCTATTAAAGGGAATGGGATAAGTTAGCAGACTTTTCCTGTTGTTTTATAAACATCTGGGAAAAAAGTAAATTTCGCCAAGTGTGTTTTTGGTCTATTTCGCTAATATTTTTCAGTAGTCAAAATTACTCTGGATGTAGATATAAGCTCAGTTAAAAAAATCAATCAAGTTTAAAGTACATCCACCATTTATATTCATATTTTAAAATATATTATTCTAGTAATTCTAGAAATACAGGCGCAGATTAAAAAAAATATTTTTTTATGAAATTCGGTGCGCCCTGCTCGTTTAAGCCAAAACTTTCCAACTTGGAAGATAATAAAAAATTTCTTATTATGGCGCCCACCTCCTACACAAATTTTTTGACTCCAAGTAATCAATTTTATGAATTTTGGAGAAAATTAAGAAGCACATTTATTTTATTTCTAAAGAAGATCCTATTTCTTCATTTTAAAAATCACAAAACGAAAACATTTACAATACCTGCATACCAAATTATGTGGACGATATGTATTTACACTGAAACTTTATATTTTACCTACATGTTATACAACAAAAGCTGAGCTAAGGCAAGCAGGACTCTTGTCATCGAAAACGGATTTCGTCCAGAGAAGCGTCCATTTTTGGCTGAATGTTGAATGTGATTAATGGATTGGCGGGTCACTTATATCTACACCTTCTTCAATTTCCATTTTATATTGCATATTATTTATTGTATGTATGTACATATCAGAGTCTTTCCCTTCAGCTCTATAATAAAAATTCAATAAATTTTACAGTAAAAGTAAGAATAGAAGCTGAACTCGCACTTTCTCGCAGCTGGAACTATTTGAGATATGACATGCATATTTAACGATTACTTTTCCTAAGTATGATTTAGCTCGCTTCCTAGGTCCTTTTTAATTATCGCTTTTTAAAGTAAGCACTAGAAAAATTTTATACTCACAATATAATGTAAAATTTCAAGGCAAACTGTTTATAAAAATTTAAAGCAATGCTGGACCACGGATATATTCAAAAACTGCTCATCAATCAGATTGGCTTTTTATATGTCCGCACAAGTGGAAAAATTAATTCAAATTACTTGCGACAAAATCAAATTTTTTTCTTTCAAATTTATTTTTTCGCAAAGTTCCTACTTGAAGCTCATGTCATGCTGCAAATATGCATTTTTATCAAAAATTATCTTTGCTTTGGGTGACCTGGATATTTTTCTATGCATCTTTGTAATTACTTTTTCAGAATTCGCTAATCCGTTTTTACTACTTTTGGCCGCTGTAGTTCCATTGTGCGTCGCTGCGCCAACAAAAACGGTTATGTGATTTTTGTATTTTTTTACTGCATATTTTAATAACACTCTCTATTGCCCACATTACTGCATTTGCCGTTCTCTTAAATATATATCTTTTGGTTTAGAACTGACCAAAAACAGCTATGTGCCCGCAGTACTAGAAATACTATGAAAAAACGGGTACGCTTACTTGCTTATAACTGTTTTTGATCACAGGCGAATCTGGTGAGTGTGTTTTGACATCGATGTAAAAATTATTATAAACCAACTAAATACATACCTACATATCTATGCACATACCATCTACACTACCAGGGCTGCCAACTTGGCTCAAACCGTGCCATTTTTAGCACTATTTTACTTCAAATGGCACTTAATTTTTCAATTTGGCACAAAGTGCCAAAATGGCACTTTTGAAAAATAGTAATATTTTAGAACATTTTTGTGAAATCATTTGCTTTTACTTCTTTTTTTCAACTAAAATTTTCTAATTTCGATAGTGTATAAAACTGGTTTATCTTATTTCGGCATTCGACTCTTGTTTTAGGAATGTGTTTCTAATTTTAATGCTAAATGGGAAGAATTTAAAAAATGGCAATTTTTTTGGCACTTTTATTTTTGTATTTGGCACATTTTGGCACTTTTTTATCTTCAATATGGTACTTCATAGATAAGGATAGTTTGTAGCCCTGTACACTACATAGATTCTACTATTTAATTTGATCGCTTGCAATTGGAATCCCACAATTAACAAAGTAAAAAGTGTGGAGGTACTCGTAGACAGCGTCCACTCTACATAAGAAAATGTATTCAATCCACCGATATATTCACCGACAGGCGAGGCCATCACATCCTTATATTATTAATTATTTAGAGTATACATTTTTTTTTTTATCTACAACTATAAGGCCAGGTAAAAAACCTGGGGAAGCACCAGTAAGCAGTATCAGAGGATTGCTTCATGTAAATGGTGAAGTCAAATTGAAGTTGCGTCATACCGACTGCTGGACATCAGTCCCACAAAAATGAGCTCTGTTATTACAGCAATACGAAACGGAGCTATTCTACGATGGTGCAAAAAAATTGACCAATCTAAACATAACAGCCTTCAAACGTTAAAGCAATATACATATACGCAAAGATTTCCATTCGTTTTATGATAATCTTCCTCGATAAATACTTAGTTTTACATTTTTATGCAATTTACTATGTTATGCAAATTTGCATAATGTATATAAATGTGAAAGCATTTAAAAAAAATTCAATTAGTTTTATATTGAAACTATTTCTTGTATATACGACCTTTCATTGGATATCACCCATCGGAACTTTGACCGAAAAAACAGTTCGCATCTCTGGCAATTTCATGGTCTGTACAAAATATGTGTCCACTCACCACTTTGCATTAATTTTTATTACAACAAGTAAGAAAGTCTAAGTTCGCACGGAGCCGAACATTAAATACCCCGGCTTACCATGTAGTACCGCTACATGGTAAGCCGGGGTGTATAGATTTTGTGTAAATTTGCGTCCTTAAATTTCGAAATATGTAGTTTCAAGCATTTCTGAAATTTACCGTTATACGAAAAGCGGCCGTAATTTTAGTCCGATTTCAATAATTTTAAACAGTTTGCTTTTACGTGGCAAGCACAATAACCATACCGAGTTTGGTACAAATTTGTACAATGGTTACCGAGATACATATATGTGATCATAAGTGGGCGGTGCCACGTCCATTTTTAAAAATTTTATAATAAACGTATTTCTTGGTAAAGAATTGTTGCAAGCATCAATTTAGAATTGTAAGAATATATTGAAATAAAATGCACCATACAACCCAATTGCCTTCTAGCAAGTACACCTTCATACACCTTTATGTGCAGTTCTATGTATATACCTTTTTCTTATTATTGCTGCTAATAAAAATCTAAGTCGATCAAGAATATTCAAGCTTAACACACGTGTTTTCATTGCGGCTTTCTCTAACAGTGGTTATGGGCCCAGAGTGCCTACTTTGAATCGCTATTAGTAACAGTCTAGTTATTTTGGTTTTATTGTTTATCAGGAGATAAAAAAAAAAAAATACAATGACGAGCTCACTAGCTAATATTGAAAAGCTCAACTCGGAGAATTACGCAACGTGGTCAATCCAAGTAAAAAGTTTATTGATTACCCTAGATTTGTGGCACGTGGTCGTGGATACTGTTCCCGAGGAACCGGTAGCTAAACTGGCGTGGAATACTGCTGATCAAAAGGCTCTGGCTACTCTAACTTTATGTGTAAAGCCAAGTGAACTAATTCATGTTAAAAATTGCACCACCGCAAAAGGTGCACGGTTGTGTTAAGCAGGGTTCACAGAGCTCACAGTGCCTGTAGGAAAGTGACACCCTTTAAAAAACTTCTCCGGTTTAACTTTAAAGCAAAGTAAAAGCTTTCAGTGCAATTAAATGAATTTACATCTATAGTAGATGAGCTAAAGGAGGTGAACAATATGTTGCCGGATGATCTTGTGGCAGTTGTTTTGCTATGTAGCCTTCCCGACGAGCTAGAAAAGTTTGTTGTAGCTATGGAAAGCCGGGACAGTCTGCCGACTTTTAGTGCTTTGACCTCTAAAGTCCTTGAAGAGGAAATTCGGCAAAGTCAAAAAGTACAATCAAATACGGAAACTGTATTTGCTGCAAATCCGCAAAATGGTGGGAAGCGAAATGACAACCACAAAAACAAAGATAATTTTAGTTCGCGAAATTATAATAACAACAAGAATGCAAAGAACTTTACTTGTTATCGGTGTGGTAAAAAAGAGCATATAAGAGCGCAGTGTAAATCAAACAAAGAGACGGCAGATTCAGCAAGCGCATTTGGAGCTGTGGAAACAGTGCAAATAAGTGAGAAGTGGATCTTGGATAGTGGGGCGTCCTCCCA